ATTTTAATATTAAAAAAATGCTTTTTGACATTTAATAAACATTTAATTTAACATTTAGAAAATGTTTATTTAAAATTTTAAAAAGTTTCACATATAAAATATTTTTATATTTATAAAATATACATGTTTTTGTGGCAAAAACATTATTCATATCTCATACTAATTATGCACATATGAATAGTGCACAAATAATTATGACATGTCTGAACACTAAACTTCGATTAGATATTGGTTATATAGAGAGCTTGACAAAATTTTAAATGCGATAAACAGTTATCAACAAACGCCATCAGGTTTGTAAGTATTTATATATAATTTAAATCTGAAAAACTATATATCTTTTTGCCAAAGAGTTGTTATAAACATGTGGCACTTTTTATTGTCAAAACTTTGTTAGCAACAAACTACAATTAAAAAAACTTCATAACTTGAAGACATCTACACAACAACAAATGGAAAGCATAACATGTTTTGTTGTCGACATGTTTTCATCATATGCTCAAGGTAAAACTTGTATTCTTTTATTACAAACATGTTGCTGTAATGTTGCCGACAACATAATGTATGTACCACTATTGCTTATCGTTTGTTCTTGAAATTTCATCAACTGATTACACGTATAAGCAGTTATGTTGCTGATTTGTAATGAATTGTTTTTTGATGTCAAGAAATGTATAGCAAATATGCAACAACTCATGCAATGCATTAGTTTGCTCGATATGATGAATCCCGCTTGGTTATCTGGGTAATAATGTGTCAACAAAATTTTAATAACTATTAAGTAATTTATTTTACAGATCCAAAATAAATTTAAAAATAAACATTAAATAAATATTAACTATACGTTTAAAAAAATATTAAATAAACATTATACAAATGTTTACTGAAATCATTTTCTCAAATGTAAGATTAATGACAATAAATATTTAAAAAATATTTAACAAACATTTAAAAAATGTATATTAAAATTTAATTTTTTTGAACGTTTCAAAAATGCATACTAAAATTTTTATTTTTTAAAATGTAAAATTAATGACAATTAAATATTTAGATTATTTAAAAAATATTAAATAAAAGATCGGAAGAGC